ACTCAATCGGAACAAGTATCTGAGTGCCACCAGTATGCCGAGCACTTTTCTAGGTGCCGGGGAGCAAGCAGTGAGCAAAACAAAAAATGCCTGCCCTCATGGAGCTTCCATTCTAGTAAGAGGCATATAACCCACAAAATAAATATGTACATCACATAATATGACCGATCAGTGTGTTCTGGAGCAAAGAGGAATGGGGGAAGACTAAGAGAAGAGACACACAGCTTTAAATAAGTTGATTGGGGAAAGCCTCATTGAAATCCAGTGTCACAGTAACTAAAGATCGGAAAAAGGCAAGGAGGCTTGACTTAGAGATCTCTGGGGGAAGGTCTTCCAGGCAGAGGGAACAGCAAGTGCAAAGGCTATGAAGGACCTTGCTCAGGGCGTCAAAGAACAGCAAGGATGAGTGAGTGAGATGGAAGAGAGGAGATGAATGACTGCTACACTGGAGTTCCGCAGAGAGGAGTGACATGGCCTGCCTTGTTTTTAACAGGATCCCCCTCTGACTGCTGTGTGAAGAACAGGGAGCAAAAGCAGAAGCAGTTAGGAGGCTATTACAATATCCAGACAACAGAAAATTCTGTCTTGGACCAGGGTAATAGCAGGGAAGGTGGTGACAAGTGGTACAAGTTTAGATGTTTTGGAGGTGTGAGATGACAAGGTTTGCTGTCAGGTTGACTATCAATGTGAGAGAAAAAGAAGTCAGCTATGGCTCCCAAGTGTTTGGTCTGAGTAACTGGAAGGAGGGAGATGCCAGTGCTACCGCAGATGGTTTTAAGTGGTATGCAAGTGAAGACTTGGCTTTACAACCACATTATTTATTTTTAAGGTAACTTATTTATGGAAAGTAATAGTATACTAACTTCTCATTTACAATGATGATAAAAGTTTTCTTTTAATATTAATTTAAGTAAAAGAATCAGTTGATTGAAGAAAAATACTAAGTAAATGAAAGCATAGATGGTAATTAAAGGAAACAATAAAAACCCAAAAATACACTGGAATGACTTGTTTATAAAACACTGGCATTTTTCAACCACAGAACTGGCCTATTCAGCTATATTGGACCAAGTCTCCTCTAGGAAACACAAAACTGAGGGATGTTTGTGACACTGTAAGTGAAAAGCCAGCCAACATGATGACTTTTGTAGAGGAAGTTCTATCTAAATCTTTAATAATCCTAACTAATTTGGTTTAGGGAAAGAAAAATAAAAACCACTATGCATAACAACAACAACAACATGCACTGCCATTACTATTATTAGGAGCTCTGGTAGCATAGTGCCTAAGGCACTTACTTGACTGCTAAGCAGAAGGCTGGTGGTTCAAACCCACCAGCCACTCCTCGGAAGGAAGGTTGGGCGATGTACTTCCGCAGTCATACTGCCTCGGCAACCCAAGAAGGGGTCGCTATGAGTTGGGGCCAGCTCGATGGCACATAACAACAACAACGTGCTTAACAACAACAACATGCACTGCCATTACTAGTATTAGTAACTAATTAAACCCCTTGCCACTGAGTCATTTCTGACTCATATCGACCCTGTAAGACAGTAGAACTGCTCCATCAGATTTCATAGGCTGTACTCTCTATGGACTCAGACTGCCACATCTTTCTCCTGTGGATAGGCTGGTAGGTTTGAACAGCTAACCTTTTGGTTATCAGCTGAGCACTTTAACCACTGTGCAACCAGGGTTCCTTGGTCATTTACTAATCTGCACTAAAACGAATACCCAAAGAGCACAGAATCATACTGATAGGAAGCTGATGAATATCTGAGGTACAAGCAGTCCCCAGAATATGAACAAGCTCTACTCCCAATCTGTCTTTCGTTGAACTTCTAAGTACATCAGAAATTAGGTCTAGTTCGTATCTAACCTCAAGTAGTAAAATGTTGATCTCAGTATATAGTGAACCTTTCTATGCATAAAAAACATTAAAGAAACACTTCCAGATACACTAAAACATCTTTAACAAAATAATACTAATGTTTTGATGCACGTTGCAAAGCAGAGCCTGTTTGTTATTATGAACTGTTGCATGTACCTCAAATTTTTAATATAAAAGGCTTTACAGAAGTTGGTTCAGCTACCCTAAGCTGAAAACCAGGAACTGCCTGTACTCATTCATAAAAACTAAACTCACTGCCATGGAATCAATTTCAACTCACAGTGACCCCCTTGAGTTTCCAAAGATATAAATCTTTATGGAAGCAGACTGCCTTATCTTTCTTCCGCAGAGTGGCTGATGAGTTCAAACCACTGATCTTTTTGTTAGTGGCAAAATGCCTTAACCAAAACACCATCAGAGCTCCTTATACTCATTCACAGATAGCAACATCTTAAGAAGTTTATGCAAATTGGGAAGGATGGAAACCAAGATGTTATTGCTAGATGCAAGGATTATGGGTGATGTTTTCCCTTTTCCGTATTTTCGGTTTTCCTTTACCAAGATCCTACATTGTTTGCATGACAAAACAACAAGAACTCTGTCTACATTCTAGGCTAGGTCTTACCCTGGTGCCTTTGCATTTACTGGAAGCCTCTTACCTCATGTATTTGTAAGGCAGTCGCCCCCACCTACTTCAGGTTGTTAGTCATAGGCCATCTGATCAGTATGAATCAAGGTTTCTCCAAGAGTGGGAATCTCACTTAATGGTGACTAATTTTAAGTGACCCATGTTTTTTTTAATGTACTAAAACTTGCTTAGACTATTGAATGAACAATGGCCAAGTACAACAGCAGCCTCTTTGGCTAAGTCCTTCACTCCTGCACGGAAGTTGTTGCCTGTGTGACCTCTATTTCCAGTTGCTCTTTTTGGTAAGTTACAGTAAGTGCTACTTTCATAGGTCAGGTACTTAAAATTAGGACTATTCTCTTCTAAACTTTAGCAAAGAACGTCCTTAAGGCTAGAAATGTTACCTGTTCATCTAACAACCAACTTAGATAGGGAAGTCCTAACATTCAAATATCATAAAGTCATTGCTATTAGTTTCAAAACAGAGAGTGAATTCAAGTTATATTTTTCTGATGTGTGATTTTCACTTGTGAAGTAGAGCAAAATATTATATTAGGAATTAATCACATACTTCCAACAGACATTTCCATTGGATTAGACACTCAACTACTTAAAAACAAAGTTTGCAAACACATAGATACAAATGAACCAAAGAGCTATGGAGGTCAGTTCAACCTATTTTAGGTTACCATTTAGAACACGAACTAAATACCAGAGAGAATCAAAGTCAGTATTTTGTTGTTATTGGAATACTGGCATTATTAAAAAACCAAACTCACTGCCGCTGAGTTGACTCCAACTCATAGCAACACCCTGTGGGTTTCTGAGACGGTAAATCTTTACGGAAGTGGATTGCCCAGTCTTCCTTCGGTGGAGTGGCTAGTGTGTTTGAATCGCCAACCTTCTGGTTAGCAGTCAAATGCCTTAGGCCCTATGCCACCAGAGCTCCTTATTGGCATTATAGGATGATTTAATTTTGATTCAAGTTATAAAACAGGTGTCAGAAATAGTTTTAACAAATAAAAAGCTCTGCACTGGCCAATATCAGCAGTCTAAAAATATTCCAAGCAGGAGTAATTATACAATACTCACACATATACTTCAACAACATTGTAGTAAGTATTTCATTTGAATGGCAAATCCTAAACTTTTTTGGTCTCAAGACTCCTTTACACTCTTGGAAGTTACTAAAGACTGTAAGAGCCTTTGTTTATGTGGTTATGGCTATAGATGAACTGAGGTGAGCTGGAAATTCATGTCTTGTCTAAAGGGGGTAGCTACTCCTTTGTCCTGCCAAATGGCTCATGGACCACCAGTGTCAACATCTAGGGTCACCTATTTGCTCTCAAAAATCTCTGAGAGCAAATATTCTAGGATTAGCACAGAGAATATTAAAAA